GCTTCGTTCAAATAGCAGCAATTATCACTCCTCTGATCAACGCCCGCAACCTTACCCAATTATCCCCCCTTTTCCCCCCCTCCCCCAACACAAGAACCTCTGCACGCCGACCTCGCCATGCGGGCGACGTGCAAACGATTAATTTTAATCTGACTACCCTTATACAGTCTGCCCAACTGTACAGTTTTTACTACCCCTGCAAATATGTTGGCCTGATGTAGATTTTCTGAAAACGTATGTTTGCCAACTTGACTTCTCAACTGAAGAATGCGAATCTTTGCAGAAATTTAAATATTTTTTTATGAAAAACATGCACGAAAAATTCCATCTTGTATTTGTTTGAAAGGAAAGTACGTCTTCTTTAAATGGTATCCTTAAGTTTTATAAAAATTTTGTAATCATTAGATTTTTATAACTGTGAGATGTTTATTGATAATTCATCGCATTCGTCAACATAATATTGCTTTCTGCAATGTAACAAGCATGGTTCGTCTCTATTGCAACAGGTCATGAGAAATATGTGGCCATTTTCTCAACCCTTAGGCAAATATTGACTTTTAATTAAACAGGATGTACACAAGGCGCAGTTTTTTAAACCCTGATTTCAAGTGTACCTGTTGGTAGGTTCCAAGATTATTTGGCGATCTAGAGGAAAATGAAAAACCGAAGGATAGCCTTTCTTTAAGTACAACATTTAACGAAGGCGTAATTTGTTACCAAACAGGTAACTTAGTCAAGGCCGATTAGTGAGTGTCTATCAATATTTCGCAAATGTTGGCATGTTGCACGAATGCAGTGCCGTATTGCATATATCAAGAGATTGTCAGCCGACATCAGTAGAACCAGGTTTGACTATGCAATTTGTGTTATTTTACTTCACAGAATCGGATTTTCAGTATCCAGGAAGGAGAACGATGACTGCCAGTCCAATGACAATAATTCAATCAGCGAAACTGCTGCCCGATCCCCCAACCAGCCTGTTATATATGTGGGTTGGCGGACAGCAAAGATCACAGAGTCTCAGCTTGAGGCCTACTTCTCTGCGTTCGGCAGGGTAACAAAGGCCCAAGTAGTATACGATCGGGACACCGGCCAGTCCCGCGGCTTCGGCTTCGTCACATTTGCTGACAACACCGCCTTCAAGAAGGGCGTGCTGGAGGTCTGCCACTTTCTCAACGGTAGTCGCCTCACAGTCCAGCCTTCGAGGAGCAATGCACATTACGTTGACAGGTGCGTCTGATCGCGAATGGTGTTTTTGCTATTCTAGCTTGAGCTGCAACCATTTGTTTTAGGAATTCGAAGTTCGATCGAGTTGTATCCGGGTGCTCCTAAAGTGTTCACCAATTATATTTTTTAGGAGTGTATTTATCGGTTCCCTTCACAATTTTGCTCTGCAATTAACGAAGCATAGGCATTTCGCAATCTATATTACATACATGCGGAAGATATGCCATATATGGGTTTGTTAACCGAAATTAGGAAATTTGCTTTTTTATTCGAAGAAATTAATTAGGTGAGCTGGTATTATAATATCACAGTAGAGCAGTGCGCCCGGGCAGTCGGTTTTTGAATAAAAGAGCTCGCCGACAGATTCTTTCATGCTGCGGTTAAATGGCAATTGCAATTAAGTGCAAAGCGAATTACCGTTGCACCTGCATATAAGAGGAAAGCCGAAGAAAAAAAGTACGCTTTTAGATGCTCTCATCCTATAATGACGTTTTAAGCACGACTTGATTCCGAATAGAAATAATGTTAAGGGTTAGATGAATGCAATTTACTGAACTTGAAAAGCCAGTACATGGCGAATTGATTCCTCAAGTTGATCATTTTAGCTCCTTTCCTCCACTTGTTCCCTTTTGAAGAGCGTTGATAAAGGGCAGCTTTTTCCCTTAGAAAATTTTGGCAATTCTGTTTACAACCATTGCCCCCTCAGATGCTCCAACGGTGTGCTCATCTTTAGCTAACGTATTTGCTCATCCCGAATGTAAAGCTAAATTGCATTTATATTGGAGTGACGCATCCTGGAATCGCGGACAAATAACTGCTCCTACGGCGGAAATGGCAAATCTAGTATCCGTCTTCATCCATTCCATTGGTCTATTTCCAAATATTTATGTATGTACCATTGCGCCCCCTAAACAGTCCCTGTGGTGGATGAGCTAGACCGACTGCGCCTTCGTTCTTCTTGATTCTGTCTTCACACCGTACTCAGGTGGACGAGAGAGGGAAGGGTGCTGTTACTACAACACAAGCCAGCTTTCACTTCACGGTCCCTGTGGCAGCCAGCTGTGGAGCCTACACTGTA